GTGTCCCCCCAGAACCATTGGTCCCGCTGTTTTCTCCTCCAGACTATTCATCCAGTCTATCTTATCTAGATAGATCTGTAGAGATAATAATATGCATCACAAACCAAGCCATAGCAAGATAGGCAATCAGTGAGAACACAGCGATGGTAACAAAAAAAAGGAAACCAATTACCCATAGAAGAATAAGTTAACTAAAAGAAAAAAATTTTAAGCAGAAAGAAAAACTTGTAAATAGATCAAGGTCTGATTTTTGATCTCTAGGTGTGTCCTTCAGTCAGGACCGATGGGGTACCACACTCTGGCCCCCGAGTCTGTCCTGTGTACTCCCTCAGGGGCTCTCTGCTCTGTTCCCATGGTTGCTCTGCCACAGCTCTTTGTGGTTTGCCTCGGTGTCTCGGTCAGTCTGGGCCAGTCCCGACACTGAGTCTCCAGTGTTGTCCCTCTTAGAGCCCAGGGCCATGAAGGGATGGCGTGTCTCATGGTGGGATCAGCCATATTGTCCACTCTGTCCACTGGCTGTTCAGAGCAGGGATGTCGCCCTCCAGGTCTGGTGGGTCAGGATGTGCTCCACTCTCTCTTCCTCCCCCTACATCCTCCCATTTGCTCTGATCAGACATGCCCCTCTCCTCTAGCTGCAGCTTCATTGCCGTCCTCTCAAGTAGATTCTTCTGGAGGGAGGGGCTGTTGTCCACATAGCTGGCATTGGGGCCGTTCAGCACATTTTTAATGCAGCTTTTGTGGTAAAATTAGGTGCCTAGGCTGATATTCAGGCCAGCTTATACTCGAGTGTATATGGTAACAAAAACAACACATTTTGTCCTAGAGGAAGTTGTAGATAATGATTGTGGCAGGTGAGAAAGAAAGAAAGGTCTTTCTAGGCAGAAAGGACACTATGAGGAAAGGCACAGAGGGCTGAAAGAACAGGAACCATTTGTGGAAAGACATCACTAGCCTAGGTAAGGAAGCCAGGCTGCAACTTGTAACTCTTTCTTGAATCCTGTTCACCTTTGAGCATCTTACCAACCTCCACAGAAACACTCATGATTAGATTTTATTTTATACATGGGCCTAAGTAGAATTTTAAGCAGGAAAGTGCTGTTGCCCTGCTTTTAAAGCCTATGAAGCAGCCTTCTACCTACTTTTAAAAAACAATGACTACCAAGAGTGAGCCCCTCTACTTAGAAAATGTTTTGGAAATGATGATGGCAACATATATACAAGCATGCTTGATACAATTGATGTATGGAAGGTTATGTTAGTCCCCAATAAAATGACTTAAAAAAAACTGAACCCCTCCCACTATCTACTCTTTGACTTTATCTGGATTTTCACCAAATTCTTCATCATTTTCTCTCCTAGAGGGAACGTCTTACATCCAAAGCTAAGTTAACAGAGATTTTCCTTATCTCTTTGCCTCATGCTTTCCCAGGCCCTGGCAGGCCTTGTCTTCTCTCCTATTTTCCACTATACTATATGACCTCCATCAGTAACAGTAGCCTCAGGCAACAATGGTGAGGATGGCGCAGGACTAGGCAGTGTTTCCTTCTGTTGTCCAGAGATTCAACAGCACCCAACAACAACCCCAGCACAAACCAACCGTAGGACCTGATTAAAATGAAAACTTTTGATTCAGTCCGTCTGAGCTGGGGCTTGGGATTCTGCATCCGTAGCAAGCTCCCAAGGGATGCTGCTGCTGCTGGTCCAAACACTCTTATTTGTAGGTAGCAGTCTATTTATACAATTATGTCTCTCTCTCATCTTAAAAAACCAACTCATAGAGTTTCCATGTTCATGTTCTTTCTTTGTCCTTGTTCTCACCTAACTGCTCTCCCCACAAATCCCTGTCATCTCGCACTTGGATTATAACAAGGTTCTTATTCACCTGCTTGCTTCAAGAATCTTCTTAGACTAGTCTTTTAGCTACTCTGCTAGCAATGCTGTCTTCTAAGTCTAAATCCGCTGGTGCTCTCTTCCTTCTTGTGGAAGTTTGCTGTTCCCAGTGCCTCTAATAGCACTTGAAAACCTTTAGGCGAGTTTGGAAGACCATTTACAATCTAACACTGGCCACTCCTCAGCATGTGCCCTACACTGCATTATTTTTTTTTTCTTTTTCTTTCTGACATTCATTTTGATCTTTTTTTTATGTATTTTTTGTCCTGTTTTGGGTTTTTTTTTTTAATCATTTTATTAGGGGGCTTGTATAACTCTTATCACAATCTATACATATATCCATTGTGTCAAACACATTTTGTACATTTGTTGCCATCATCATTCTCAAAACATTTTCTTGCTACTTGAGCTTTTGGTATCAGCTCCTCATTTTTCCCCCTTCCCCCACCCTCACTCCCTTGATAATTTATAAATTATTTTTTCATATCTTACAGTGACCGATGTCTCCCTTCACCCACTTTTCTGTTGTCCATCCCCTAGGGAGGGGGTTATATGTAGATCCTTGTGATTAGTTCCTCCTTTCTCCCCACATCTTCCCTTTCCCCTCCTGGTATCTCTACTCTCAGTATTGGTCCTGAGGGGTTTATCTGTCCTGGATTCCCTGTGTTTCTAGCTCTGATCTGTACCCATGTCTAGCTATATTTCCTACAATGAATTCTAAGGGCTCCCCAGTACTTGCTACACACCCCTTGTCCACTCCATGCTCACTGCCATCAAGTTGATTGTTACTCATAGTAACCCTATAGGACAGAATTTCATGTGGGTTTCCGACTAAATCTTCACAGGAGTAGAAAGCCTCCTCTTTCTTCCTTGGAGCAGCTAGTGGATTTGAACTACTGGCTTTGGAGTTAGCAGCCCAGTGCATAACTCATTATGCCACTAGGACTCCTTTCTTGTCCACAGTAACCGTGTTTCACATCCCACCATTCAGTACATGGTCAGTATTGGGATAGGTAAGTAGGTAGATAGGTGAAATAATGTATGAGATTAAAAGAAGATCAAGTTTTGTTTCTGTATGTGTATGTGTGTGTGTGTGTGTGTGTGTGTGTGTGTGTGTGTGTGTATTTGGATATTAAAGAACAGGCTGGCTCTGAAAAAGCAGACCTGAAAATTTTATTCTCACAACTTAGCTAAGGATCTCATATAGAAAGCAGCAGCAACACACATTTAAAGGGTTGAAATGTGTGTGCAACACACATTTAAAGGGTTGAAATGTGTGTCCATTCTCACCTCTGACTCTCTTCTAATGTGCCTACGTGTGCTTTGTTCAGAGTTCCATCTCTGGGGTGACTGCGGCATATAACCGAGAACAGCTCTGGCTGGCCAACGAAGGCTTGATCACCAAGCTGCAGGCTTGCTGCCGTGGATACTTAGTTCGCCAAGAATTCCGATCCAGGATGAATTTCCTGAAGAAGCAAATCCCTGCTATCACCTGCATTCAGGTATTTAAGAGCCAGTTGTTGAGACAGCAAACAGGCTTCTAGAGCAGAGTAATAAACAGTCAGCCCTTACTATCAGTGTCTGAGTGTGTTTGACTTCTGACCTCTTTGTCTCGTCCTGCTTTGGGCAACTACCTTTTCTCCCCTGCCACTGTAAGGATAACGAGTTTAGTGGTATTTAATAGCAAACTGTCTGGCTTTGTGACAATTACCGGCCTCAACGATTGTTTCCTTATGTACTATTTGAACCTGAAGGGAAAATGGCTTCAGTGAAAGAGTAGCACGATGTCTTAGACAAGGTTCTGAGTTCGGACTGACAGCCCCACACTGCCTCACAGTGGTGAATTTTCTAGGACCTGTTCCTCATCTGTAAAGATAGCAATATGTATTCATCTTCTGCATTTGACTGGTTATCAAGAGCAAGTAAGAGAATCTGGTAGATGCACTTTTCAAGGCGGAGTGCTATGCCAGCAGCAGGGACAAGCAGTGAGCTTGTGTTCTGGTGGCAGCCCGGCCCATGCACGCTTCCCCCATCACTGCTGCAAGTGGTCCTTTTTAAAGCTTCATCATGAAGGGTGCCTGCCTAATACTTCAAGATGAGATTTTTAAAAACGTCCTCTGGTCCTTGGGAAATAATCCATCGCCTTTAATGTTTGATGATTTCAGTCGCAGTGGAGGGGATACAAGCAGAAGAAGTCCTATCAAGATCGCTTAGCTTACCTGCGCTCCCATAAAGATGAAGTTATAAAGGTATGGCAGCCTGAGCAGGGTTTCTCACTGTGGACCCCAAGTATGATGTGACATGTGTTGAGTTGACAGCTTTATCTAAATTTCCACATCCCCTTTCTACAGATTCAGTCACTGGCCAGGATGCATCAAGCGAGGAAGCGCTATAGAGATCGTCTACAATATTTCCGAGACCATGTAAGCACCTTAGGGTACTGGGGCTGGTGGGATAAGCTTTACTGTGCTTTTTGATGGACAAAGGACTTCTTTCTTCTTTTTCGTTCCTTAGATAAATGACATTGTCAAAATCCAAGCTTTTATTCGGGCAAACAAAGCTCGTGATGACTACAAGACTCTCAGTGAGTAATGAGGGCTCGGCAGTGAAGCGTTAGGGCAGGGATGGAAAGCCATTGGTGATGGATAGTGGTCCTGCAGGCCAGGCTCGGGAGGAGGGTAGGGTGCTACTCGCAATTTAAGCCCTTTAGAACTATGATGTCTAGATGTCTTGTCACTTGCCTTATTAACCTTTGTTGTAACATAGCAGTAACATGATCAAGACTATACTTAGTGGTTGTCCTGGTTCATCTAAAAAGAAGCTAATACCCCCTATGAGAATAGAGCTACATTTTCAAGATAATACTGATATTTCCTGAGACTTAGAGAACGTCTCCTGATAACTTGGTTCATTAGCTAATACATACTTTTTTTCTGCTAGTAAATGCTGAGGACCCTCCTATGATTGTGGTCCGAAAATTTGTCCACCTGCTGGATCAAAGCGATCAGGATTTTCAAGAGGAACTTGACCTTATGAAGATGCGGGAAGAGGTTATCACCCTCATTCGTTCTAACCAGCAGCTGGAGAATGACCTCAACCTCATGGATATCAAAATTGGGCTGCTAGTGAAGAATAAGATTACACTGCAGGTATGGGTCCAGTTCAGTTAGACTTTGGGGCACCTTGTCCTGTTTTGTTAGTCAGCCTCTCCCTTGCTGATTTTTTTCAGAGTTACATAAAAAACAAAGCAATATATAATAGGCACATTTTTTTAACTGAGAAAAGACGATCACACTTCCGCCCTAATTCAACCATCCCACAATCATTTTGTATTCCATCTTTTTCATTACTGTTAGGTGACGAGATGCCTTCATATAATCAAATACTCATAAATACTATTTTTAACCATAATACAACAATCCATGAGAAGATATAATGTATTACAATCCCCCTACTGTTTGTCATTTAGGTTTTTCTTAGTTTAGTATTGCAATTAATGTCACGATTTATACTTAGCTTTTATTTTACTGCATTTCAGACTTTCCCCTTCAGTTAGATTCCTAGAAGCTGATGTTCTGTTTAGGGGTCATGGATATGGCTCTGATTCTTCATAGGAAGGTGCAAGTAGGAACAGGAAGGATCGGTGTACTGAAGACAGGATACAATGGAGGGTTTAAAATGATTTATTAGGGATCTGTTAGAGTGCAGTAGACTTGACAGGTGTCTAAGGACATTTCAACAAAGCTCAGTGCTTCATCTTGAGATATTTTTAATTTTACATATCGGTATTTGTTTGTAGGATGTGGTTTCCCACAGTAAAAAACTTACCAAAAAAAATAAAGAACAGTTATCTGATATGATGATGCTAAATAAGCAGAAGGGCGGCCTGAAGGCTTTGAGCAAGGAGAAGAGAGAGAAATTAGAAGCTTATCAGCACCTGTTTTACTTATTGCAGGTGAGTGACTCCGGGAATTAATAAAGTAACGATTAACTTGAAAATGTTCTCACAGGAAAATCAATTAAATAATTAATTAAATGGGGGGTGGAGTTTAAAAAAAGGTTCTCACAGGAAAGCCTTACCGGCATCTCTGGAAAGGTTTGACTCTCATGGCTAGAATTTCCATCTCATGGTTTTATTTCAGACCAATCCCACCTATCTGGCCAAGCTGATTTTTCAGATGCCCCAGAACAAATCCACCAAGTTCATGGACTCTGTAATCTTCACGCTGTACAACTATGCATCCAACCAGCGAGAGGAGTACCTGCTCTTGCGGCTCTTTAAGACAGCCCTCCAGGAGGAAATTAAGTATGAACACTTCTCTAAGGCACTGGGGCCCTCTTAGTTCTTGTCGGTCCTTAAACACTGTTATAGATAGATGCTCATAGTTTGTGATAGAGGACTCCCTGGACATTTTCTTACTCCCAATTAGTACTTAGTGTGAAATACTTGGTCTAAAGAAAAAATCCATTTAATTATTGCTAATATGAAGTGTTGCTGTTTGGGGGAAGGGAGTAGAATAAGATATTCACTAAGCTTGAAGATAAACAAGCAGCCATCTAGCTGAGAAGCAAGAAAGCTCACATGGAAGAATCACACCAGCCTGTGTGATCATGAGGTGTCGATAGGATCAGGTATCAGGCATCAAAGAACAAAAAATCGTGTCATTGTGAATGAGAGGGAGTACAGAGTAGAGACCCAAAGCCCATCTGTAGGCAACTGGACATCCCCTTACAGAAGAGTTACAGGGAGGAGACGAGCCAGTCAGGGTGCAATGTAGCAACGATGAAACATACAACTTTCCTCTAGTTATTTAATGTTTCCTCTCCCCACTATCTTGATCCCAATTCTACCTTATAAATCCGGCTAGACCAGAGGATGTACACTGGTACAGATAAGAGCTGGAAACAGGGAATCCAGGACAGATAAACCCCTCAGGGACCAATAATGAGAGTAGAGATACCAGGAGGGGAAGGGGAAGGTGGAGGAGAAAGGGGGAACCGATCACAAGGATCCACATATAACCCCCTCCCTGGGGGACGGACAACAGAAAAGTGGATGAAGGGAGACATGGGACAGTGTAAGACATGAAAAAAATAATAATTTATAAATTATCAAGGGTTCATGAGGGAGGGAGGGGAAAAATGAGGATTTGATACCAAGGGCTCAAGTAGAAAGAAAATGTTTTGAGAATGATGGTGGCAACAAATGTATAATGCTTGACACGATGGATGTATGGATTGTGATAAGAGTTGTATGAGCCCCCAATAAAGTGATTTAAAAAAGAAGAAATGTGCTAAGTTACATAATTTTAGGGACATACTGGACTATATTACAAGTTTTACATATCTGATCCAAACCCATATTTTTATCTTCTAAAGGACTTGGTGACTCCTGTGATTAAGTTTGCAACGGTAGGAAGGTCCTGTGTGCAGATGAGTGTTGTAAAGTGTTTTTAGAGAAAGAGCATGCACCCATTTCCTTGCAGCTCTGTCTGCTTTTAGGAGACAAGACCTTTAAGTAGGAAGGGTGTAGAGATGATCTTTAAGGGAGTCTATGAATGGTTTAAATGGAATTTGTATCTGATCTTTCATAGGTCAAAAGTTGATCAGATTCAAGAAATTGTGACAGGGAATCCAACCGTTATTAAGATGGTTGTAAGTTTCAACCGCGGTGCCCGAGGCCAAAATGCCCTGCGACAGATCTTGGCCCCTGTTGTGAAAGAGATTATGGATGACAAATCTCTCAACATCAAAACTGACCCTGTGGATATCTACAAATCTTGGGTTAACCAGATGGAATCTCAGACAGGAGAAGCAAGGTATGAAAACACAATACTGTTTTCTTTTATTAGTTTTTCTTCCTCCACCTCTCTTTTTTCTTGTTGCTCTTTGATTTACAAACTAAAAATGGTTCAAATGATTTTTCCTCAGAAAACATATCTTTAAATATTAACTTAGTAATGTATTCATTAATACAGCAAATATTTATTGAGTCCTTGCTATGTGCTAGGCACTAGAATACAATAAAAAAATTATCCTTCCTGTCTTCATAATTCATTGGCTTGGAGAAACAATGAGTATATAAAAATAACAATATAATTGCAAAATTGAGGGGAAAAGTATTGTTTTTTAAAGATATTTTATTTTGTTTTTAATGAAAATTTTTGCACAGCCAATTAGGTTTCCATTCAACAGTTTCACCCGTTCAATGACATCAGTTACATGCTTTACTATGTGTAAATATTCTCATTATTTCTGGTCTGGTCTTCTAATACTGAATAGTTTTACAGAAACACACACCTTATGTGTTTTTTGCCAGGCTCACATTATCATTTTTATTATTATCTGTTGCTGAGTTCAGCCAACACTAGCCCAGTGCCTCACTGACATTAAGTTGATGTTGAGTAGAACTGCCCCATCGGGTTTCCTAGGTTGTGATCTTTCTGGAATCAGATTCCACATCTTTCTCTCAGAACAGCTGATGGGTTTGCACCACCAGGATTTTAGTTAGCAGCCAAGCACTTAACCAGTGCGCCACCAGGGCTGCTCTCAACTGACATTGGGAAAACACAGTTACCTGTCTAATAAGTAGGCCTAGCAAAAGTCTCAAAAACTAACAGGGCAGTTCTACTCTATCCTATAAGGTTGCTGTGAGTCGGAATCAACTTGGTGGCAGCGAGTTTGTTTTTTGGATTTGACCAAAAGTCAGTGAAAGAGGAAGACCCTCAACAAGATGATTGACACAGTGGCAGCTGTGATGGGGCTCAGCGCAACAGTTGGGAGGATGGCGCAGACCTGGCAGCAGTGCGTTGTTCTGTTGTCCATTGTGTCTGCGTCGCTATGAGTTGGGACCAATTTGATGTCACCTAACAACAGCAGAATAACCCGATGGGTTCATTTAAGACACTCTGTTAGAGTTTTCATATTTAACTATTGAGCTAATGTGCTGTAATTATTAAGTTAGATGAATAGAAATGCACACTTGAAATTGTTTATTTTCCAATTTCTGAGGTACCTCCAAATGTGATCCATGATTTCTTGACCGTGGCTTACACCTTTACTATATAATTATGAACAAAAGTAACATTTAGCACATGAGGTTAAGAAAAGGAACAGATATGATTTACCTGTATTGTTGGAGGGCAGGTGAATGAGGCTGGAATTACTTCTGGGTATGTCATGAGACATGCACAATACATGCATAGACATCCTTACAACGTTTCACATGTTATATGTGTGGGTGAGTTTTTTGCAGGGGAAAACAAATGTAATCTAAGTTTCTTTACATTCTTACTCTTCTTTTTCCTAAACAATTTTTGTTTTATATAGATTTTTTCTAAAAGATATGCAGTGCTCACCAGTGATAACTGTTTTGTGAGCCAATCTGTTATATAGCTAAAAGGTGACTTCAGGATAGTTTGGGTTGAAGGTCTAAAGCAGGGGCCCTCAAACTTTTTAAACAGGGGGCCAGTTCACTGTCTCGCAGACCCATTGGAGAGCCGGACTATAGTTTTAAAAAAAACTATGAACAAATTACTATGCACACTGCACATATCTTATTTTGAAGTAAAAAAACAAACAGAGCAAAAACACCCGGTGGGCTGGATAAATGTCCTCGGCGGGCCACAGTTTGAGGACTCCTGGAAAGAGTTGTCTCCAGTAGTCCTCTTGCCACGCTGGGTTCTCTAACTTCTAGACTTTGAAGAAAGGAACAAAGTGATTCTTGTTCACGCTTTTCTCTGTGCTGTCAGGATCCATCTATTGCGGCCCTGACCAGAATGCTTGCAAGTAGCATGCGGTGGTATGGAGTTCTTCTGGTTTCTGGGTAGTTGAGGTTTTTGTAGACACTCCTTTGACTAGTTTCTCCTTTCTTTTTTTCTGGATGCGTAGAGAACCAATAGTTGTATCTCACATGGCCACTCATACAATTTTAAGGTACCAGATACTCACCAGATTAGGAGTAGAACATAACTTATGAAGTATGTTGTGGTAATTAACCAGATTTTCCCATGATACACTCAGATATTTTATTGAATTTTGTTACAAAATTATACATGCCATAGCACTTACTAAAAGGTCTCTTTTTTTTTTTTTTGGTATGAACATCTTCTTCCTTGGACAATCTGTGCACACCACCCATATTGGGTGCTGGTTTCCCATCACTAAAAATAAAGGTCTGCTATCTAGAGAGTGATTCCCTCCTTCCCATCCTCCAGCCCTGTCCATGGTAACCACCAATGAATGTCTCTGCATGTATACCTATTCTTAGATTTTCACAAAAGTGAGATCACCAATTATTTGTTCTTTTATGATGGATATACCCCTTTCAGAATGTCTCCAAATTCAACCACAAAATACAGGATGTTTCAGGCACTCTTTGTTATCCTTCATAGCTGCAAAGTTTGCAAAGGGCACTCGTAAGAAGAATGTAAGAGTGAGGCAAACCCAGAAAACAAATTCCATGAGGTGGTTGTCTATGTGTGAGTAGTAATGGGGGGGGTGGGGAGGTACTCCTGGGAGAGCCTGTTGGAGAAGGTCAGTTTCATTTAGCTGAGGTCGTCAGCAAACTTTTGAGACAGAGGAAACAATCCTGTCCTTTACAACAATTTAAAAATTACTTGAAAGCCATAAATATATTTTTACAAACAAATGAAATCACCATTGTCTGAATAATATCCTTTAAATTTCCTCAATTTTACTTCAGAGCCAGGTAGGTACCGAAAGAGCCGCACATGGCTAATTGAGCCAGCAGAACATGCTGGGCAGAAGGACCAGTGTGTCTGAATGCTCTCAGGTGCAAAGGAGCTTGGGGCAGTTTCAGCCCTGAAGGGCTTCCAGCCAAGCTAGAGATGCAGTGGAAGAGAAACTAGGGGCCAGCTCATCCCGATGTGAACGAGAGCACTTGTTTCCCTTAAGAGGAAAGTCCTAAGGTGAATGGTCACTTGTCCTGTGGAATACTGAGAGATGGACTAAGTTCACTAATGACAGGAGATGACTAGGCTAGGGCAAATTGAATCACAAATGTTAACACATCTAAAGCAAAAGAGTGTCAGTAAGATATAGGTAACTATTCTGGGAAAATAGAGTTCAGAGAGCCGGAATGTTTCTGGTTGGTTTTCCAACTTCAGTGAGGATTGAAAGGTGTGAAGAATGGAGTTGGGAGCAGTTCAGTCGATGGTGGAGGCTTTCTTGTTGTCGGGGTACAGAGTAGATCGGCAAGGCAGCCCTCCAAGTTTAAGAGGTGTCGCTGTTTATACCCAGGCTTCTCAGACCCATAACTGAGAATCACCCACGTCATTATACACATTTCGTTTTTCCCATAGGAAGACTATTTCAGTTAGGGATTTATGTTTTGGGCTCAAGCTTCTTATTTCATCCTAGACTGTAACACTTGCCTGGAGATTTTACTGACAAGCCAAGCTACCCCAGAGTGACAGCCCCATGGACACGGGCTCAGCAGTACTGTTACTTCCTTTGATGGTCTATGAGTCGGTAGTGATTTTTTTTTTTCTTAAGGGAACCTATAAGAAACTGGTATCTTAATTTGCTTTTCATAAAATGGAAATTCATTGTAACACTTTGTTTCTGATAACCATGAGGTGTCATTAATGGTATGGTGTGGTGTGAATTCATCCAATGTGTAAGAATTTGTGGATCCTTGACTTGTGAATTCCCATTAGTTTTCCGTTATTTTACTCCAGCCACCAAACACTTAGCAAACTTGGACTTGGTAACCTCGTGGGAATGTTTACCTTGAAAAATCTTAGAAATTTCATCTTCTGGTTCCTGACTACAGCCATTGTTTTTAGCATGTTCATCTGCTTCCCTCCTTGTTACTTCATGACAGAGAGAGTACCAAAACCTTGACCTCTGCATTTCGTTTTGTCTTTCAACTCCCAGCTATCCCGATTTCCTTCCTCATTAACCCTCGTGCCCCAAACTCTAGCACATGCCCTCTTCTTCCACTAGTTTCTTCATCTCCCTTGCCTGCCAAGCACAACCCCTAAACTAACCCAGCTCTTGTCACTTCCCCCACCCCAAGGACCTTGTAGCTGCCTTCTTCAGGCTTCAACTAGGACAGCGGTTCTCAGCCTGTGGGTCGTGACCCCTTTGGGGGTCGAACGACCCTTTCACAGGGGTTGCCCTGATTCGTAGCCAGTAGCAAAATTAAAGTTATGAATAATGAAAATAATCTTATGGTTGCGGAGGTCACCACAACATGAGGAACTGTATGAAAGCGTCACGGCATTAGGAAGGTTGAAAACCACTGATCTAGGACCTCTTCTCTGCTTATCGTGTCAACACTTCCTTGTTCTGCAGAGTTTTACCTTGGAACTAGACTAGCTCAGTGCCTTCTCCATGAGTGATCGTGTCAGTCCTGTACCTTCCATTTCTATACGTACCGATAATCCCTCACCAATATCTGAAGGATCACCAACTTCCATTGATTGTATCCCATTAGTATCTATCCAATCCGTCTCCCTTTCTTGGTCCCCACTGCTGCATCTGTGTTGACATCTCATCGCTTTGGGATCAGGCAGTGGCACTGACCTCCAACCTCTTTCATCTGTGACTGTCTGTCCATGTTTAACTCATTCCCCATGGTAGGCCAGAGCAGTCCTTCTCAAAATGCAGATCTCTTTATCTTATTTTTTACTGGTTTTCCTTAGCTTCTAGAGAAATCCAGTTTTAGCACTGTTTACAGAGCCCTCCATGATCTGGCCCTGTCCAGCCTCATCTCTCCTCTCACTTCTCTTTTGTTTGAACATCTTTGTATTTGTTCATCCTCAGCCTAAAAGATTTTTCCTGAGCTCAGGTAGCCCTTCTTTCTGGAAATCTTCTTTGATTCCTCTAATCCTCATAGAAGCCCTTTGTCCTTCTAGCACACTGTTCAACTTCATATTTATAGCCCCAAATGTCTACAGTTCATTGGTTAGATCCTCAAGAGAAAATGCTGTGTGTTATACCCCCTATGTCAATCATAATGCCTGGCTGAATGAAAATCATTTTGAATTCAGATTCCGACACCTCCATTTACCAGCTCTGTGGTCCTGAACAAGTTTACCAGTCTCTCTGGGTCTGCTTGGATTTGAAAGAAAGATTCTCTGCCTCAACTAGTTCCTGCCCATTGGTCTAACACAGCCGGGTATAATTTCTCCTGTCCAGCAAACTGCCCTATGATGTGACTCCTGATCAGGCTTTGGCTCATGACGAGGTCAGGACACGGCTGGACAACTCCATTAGGAACATGCGTGCCGTGACTGACAAGTTCCTCTCTGCCATCATCAGCTCTGTGGACAAAATCCCGTGAGTGCCATTACTTGTCCTGACCCCAAGTAGAGCCCACTAGTGCCTTGCAGCTCCTGGGCCTTCTCACTAAGTGTTGTCCATCCCACAGTTATGGGATGCGCTTCATTGCCAAAGTGCTGAAGGACTCATTACATGAGAAGTTCCCTGATGCTGGTGAGGATGAGCTGCTGAAGGTAAGACTCTGAAAGAAAGCTCTTGCCCTTTGAATAGCCAACCCTTTGAGGAAAAAGTTCTAAAATTAGAACTGGGTGTAAGGGGCTGGGTGAGGGGACCAACCTAGGTTGTAGAACATTATTCAACCTAAGCATAGATTCTGGCAGCAGCTGGCTATTGATTGTGAGCTTTAAAAAGCAATTGTAAAGAAATATTGTCTCTTAGTACGAGTAGGTAGTTTGAATGGTACCCAGGCATCGAACAATAAAGGATAGATGGCTATTTCCTCTTGAAATAAATGTCTTTGGGTCTTCTTTTCACTGTAGAGCTGCCCCCTCTTCTGGTGGCCGGGCGACTAGCAGCAAGCACAATGGTTTCTGCTAAGGCTGTTGCTGGTGACTCTTTCTTACTCAGCTGTGCTCCTTCCATTTTTTTTTTTTTTTAATCTGAATGCTTTTTTTCTTCTTTCTCCTAGCTCTGTGCTTTCCTACAGTGAGGCCTCGATTCTAGACTTTCTGTTCAGGTGAATTAAATTTTTCTTCTCTCTGAATGGAAATGTAGGGGAAATGCTGTGCCTGTCATTGAATTCTCCAGTAAAACAGCTGGCTGTCGAGTGACTTCCTTTTCAGAGGCATTTGAAGTCTGCAGCACGAGCATGGTGGGGGTGGGGTGGTCAGGTTGATGGGCTAATAACAACAGCCTGCCTCCAGGGGAATACAAACTGCATGTGGTCAACAGCAGCCCGAGTTTGCGAAGGGCCCTCAAATGCCTCCTGGATCAGCTTTTTCCTTACGCTACTGCTAGTGACTTTCATTTCTGCAATTCTTTTCTTTCTTCTGCATCTAACAAAGTGATTTGTGATGATTTTATTTTTAGTCCTTATGAGAAATTGTGTGGCGTGTGTGTGTGTGTGTGTGTGTGTGTGTGTGTGTGTGTGTACACCCCCTCCCCCCCCTTTGCAGGACTGATTGGAGGGGGGAGGGTTGGTTCTTTCCTAAAAAAGTCATGTTCGGCTTCATTGGTGGTGTGGCTTTGACACCATTTTTCTGCTTCTTCTGTTCTCAGATTATTGGTAACTTGCTTTACTACCGATACATGAATCCAGCCATCGTTGCCCCTGATGCCTTTGACATCATTGACCTGTCGGCCGGAGGCCAGCTTACAACAGACCAGCGCCGAAATCTTGGCTCCATTGCAAAAATGCTCCAGCACGCAGCTTCCAATAAGATGTTTCTGGGCGATAATGCTCACTTAAGCATAATTAATGAATATCTTTCCCAGTCCTACCAGAAATTCAGGTATGGGGAAGGGATTACCGTTCTGCAAAGATTCTGTGGGATGGGTTCCTATCTCTGAGAGGAAAGACACAGATGGTGTTGGTGAGATGAGAAGTTAAAAAGCACATCCGGCTTCCCCTCCATCTCCATGTTCTAAGATAGGTTTTTGCACTGAGTTCCAGGAGACAATGAATTCATGTTGAAGAGGATTTTTGAGCTATTAAAATGTATTCATATTAAACTTTGAGTTCTGGGCATGAAGATAATGGTTATGCATTAAGCACATTATTACTTTGTCCTCAGAAGAATTGGAAAGCTTCTAATGTTTGTAAGTGAACATTCAGTTTTGAGTTCAGTGCTTCAGAGCAGTGTCTTAGAGAGAAAAATGTGACTCTCCCACACTACAGGTGGCTGAGCACTGTTCTAAATCCTGGTTGAATGGCTCTTGTATGTAGAACTGAAAATAGAAGGTAGAGAGCAAGTTCTTAGAATCCATCTCCCAAAGCTGCCCACATCACAGTGAACAGGAAGCACTTGAATTCACCGACTCAATGTGTGAACTCACTTCTGGAGAGACTGGTGGCATGTCTTCTCATCAGCCTCCTTCGCATGTCTCATTGTTGGTGGTAAAAAGAACTCTGCTTATTTTCAGACGATTTTTCCAAACTGCTTGTGAAGTCCCAGAGCTTCAGGATAAATTTAATGTGGACGAGTACTCTGACTTAGTAACCCTCACCAAACCAGTTATCTACATTTCCATTGGTGAAATCATCAACACCCACACTGTAAGTATTGCACTTTAATTACTTGATTGCATTGCTCAGCTGTAATTGCCTTGTTTGGCTGCTGCTGCTTACCATTTCTGGGAGTCAGATCGCTCACCTTCCTTTGATCTTCCACCGCTGCCATGTTTTTGCTCTCCCTTTGCTTATTATTTTTAACACTATCTACTGCTGAGTTTTTCAAAGTGATCCCTGAGCCACCTCAATCAGAAGCATCTATGCTGGTTATTCAAATGACGTTTCCCGGACACATACATCATAGGCCTGCTGAATCAAAATCTAGAATTGACCTTGCAAGCACTGATCCAGTGGCTTGATAAAACGCTGTTTACTGTTCCTCCTTTTTACCCACTGCACATCTTTTTCTCTTTTTCGGTAACCCTGTGTTCTGTAATCCCAGCTTCTTCCTCAGTGTAGCCTCAAGTGATTGTTCCCTTGGGTGTTCCCTCTGCCTTCAGATTCCTTTCTTCCCCCACGGGCATAAAGACCAGGAAATGAGGACATAAACAAGCTGTAAATGAAACTTCACTTATGTCCTTTCTTAGGCATCATCTGAACAAATCACCCTGAAGGCTCTGTTGGATGCCCCTAAAATAATGATAACACTATGTGAATTAAAAGATAGACCTTTAAAATATTGAAAAGTATGAATGTGCGTTTTGTGAACTAATGGTAGTGTACATAAAGGACCTTCAGTATTGAAGTGTGTGGGCTTTATTGTTCTTTCTTAAATTGGGTACATTTGTATGGATGGATCTCCTGAGGGCTGTGAGGTTAAAGGTGAGCACCAGGATTTCCTGTCGATTCTCCTAACATTTGTCATCCAACAGAGGTCATTGTGGTGCTTTATACACTTGTAATTCTTAGGGTAGTTTGCTAAGGGCTGCTTGTCAGTGTAGGAGCTTTGTTACCTAGTCTTGCTTTTGCAGATCACTGTTAGGCACTGTGGGCCAGGACCGGGGCTAAAGGGCTGAATGTGTAATGGAAATTGACATCAACTGTTTGGTACAGCTCTTGCTAGATCATCAGGACGCCATTGCTCCAGAGCACAACGACCCGATCCACGAGCTGCTGGATGACCTTGGGGAGGTGCCCACCATTGAGTCTTTGATAGGTAAAGTTCTCACTCAGTGGGACCCTAAATGGGGGGGGACACGTACTGGGGAACAAAACAAATGTGACCTCTGTCCATGAGGAGCTTAAGTTAGTGGAAGATGCATTTTAGATGAATATTTACAAATGGTCATGTGTGAAATTATGGTGTGTGATAAAAGAAATGATCACACACAAAAAAAAAGAAATGATCACAATTATTTTTAGAATTATAATATTACAGCATTGAAAAGATTTGTCAAAGCTATATGAAATTTATTATATATCTTTGGCCTTTCTCGTTTGGTGTGACATTTATTTCTCAGTAAGTGCTTTTCCTGCTACCCTGTGTTGGCTTATTCGAGTATATAGACTTGCATCATCTTTTATTTGTAGTTTTCCCCCCTCTGGTATTACCTCTCATTATTGTACTGACTTTTTCTGCTTTTCTCAAATTACAGGGGAAAGTTCTGGCAATGTAAATGACCCAAATAAGGAGGCACTGGCTAAGACAGAAGTCTCTCTCACGCTGACCAACAAGTTTGATGTGCCTGGAGATGAAAATGCAGAAATGGATGCTCGCACCATCTTGCTGAAGTGAGTGTCCAAAGGAGGAAGAGGTGACATGACTAATAAAGCCAAAGGGTTCTGGGCCCATTTGATACGTGAAATGATCCTCTTAGCCTTCCTTCCGAGCCCGTCATAATTTAGGCCACCTCAAATATATATATATATATATATATATACACACACACTCGGCTGCCTTGTTTGGGTCATAAGATGCTAAAATGAAATGGAATCCTTGGAAACCTAACCTGTCCAAGCTGGAGCAATAAGCCTGGGGCCTTGAGCACCTTGGCGTGACTACCTCCACACCAGCCCAGTGGGAACTCTGAGCTAGAAGGTGCATTGCCACTGTTGAGATCAGTTTAAGAAGTAGAAATCCTAGAACTGCTTAAATACTTTCTCCCTCTTGTTTTCAGCACAAAACGTTTAATTGTGGATGTCATCCGCTTCCAGCCAGGAGAGACCTTGACTGAAATCCTAGAAACACCAGCCACCAGTGAACAGGTAGGATTTAGCATTTAACATATATCTAGTAAGGTGGATAGGCACTTCCATGAGAGGCCAGTGCCAGGCTTGAAAAGTGGAGGCGGGTGGTGGTGGTGGTGTTACAGTTAATAAGAGTTCACTTAAGTGTGGGCGTGACTATAACTAGAATACGGTGGTGGTTAGGGCTTGTCTGAGCAAGCTGTTGGTTCCTAAATTCAGAGAGAGGTGTTTTCTATAGAGAGGCATAGAGCTCAGTATCACTTAGATACTGTACGTGTGTGTGTATGCATGCATGCACATATATACACAATGGTGTTCGGGGGCAAAATCAGTGCATCTATCCAGTATTTAATATTATATAAAATTTTGTTACGTGCCTTGGTGGTTAGAGAACACAGAATGTTGTGTATCTAGTTAACAAATTCAAGATCTATTTGGGAAATAAGACAAATATGCCTAAAACAATTAGAAAAACCATGAAAAATGATAGCACTGATGTTACGGACAATAAAATCTCAGGAAAGAGACCGATGAGGAACAAACAGTGTCTTTACAAATGCTTCATCAAGGAAGTGAGACTTGAGCTAAAGGATGGCCAGGACTTGGTGGGTCTATAAGGCCCCGGAGGCATTCTACCCAGGAAGGTACCTGGGAACAAAGGAAAGGAAGAGCACAATGCGAACACACCTGCCTGTCTAGAGTGAGTGAATTGGTGGGGGGGTGCGGGGAGTGGGCGGGGGATGAGTAGTGGGAAGTAAATGATTAAACCAAATTATACCGCATCTAAAAGCTAATAAAGCCAGCGAGGACTCTGACGCCGGAGAGATGGAGAGTGAGAGCCTCTGGTGGTGAACTGGGCAGGGCAGATGGTGGAGTCATGCAGGTTGTGGTGAGGTCCCAGATCCAGTTAGGTGGGCGTGGAGTGGCATAGCAGTGAGGAAGGAAGGGAGGCGTCAATTCATGTATAAGATCCTGTTTCTCATTGGTAAAATGAGGAAAATTAAATCATTTGGTTTTAAATTTTTGAACTTGGGAATCTTTTTCAGTAAATATCAACTTAGTTGAAAGCCCCACAAATGAAAGGAGATAAAATTGGAAAATATTTTGATAGCACCAGGCACTTGGAACCCAGCCCTCTAGAATTCTGTGGGAAAACCCTTCAGGCTGCACAGAGGACTGCTTGAAACCAGTGTTTTTATCTGAATCCTCAGCTCTGTAGATATTCTGATTGAAGTGATTTGCTGAGCAGGTGCTATATCTATCTATATTTGGTGTTTTCACTTATGTTCTTTCATATTATCCATGCTGCATCCTTCCTGGGTGGATATTTTCTTCCTATTTAGAGGGTAAGTAATTTGCCTGGGCTTATCAGCACCTAGTCTCTGACCCTGTTCTTTCTGACTCTAACACTTAGGCTCTGTACATATGCTAGCAGGGCAGACTTGACATTAAAAGAAAGGGGATTTCTCTAGCTGGGGAGAAAGTACAAATTTGAGCTACAAGCTACATGTTTGAGAGCTCTGTAAATCCAGGTTTGGATCGCTGTGTAGGGTAAGGCCTGATGTGGCAGACTCACCAGGAACTGTTTCCTCACTTGCAGGAAGCAGAACATCAGAGAGCCATGCAGAGACGCGCTATTCGTGATGCCAAAACTCCTGACAAGATGAAAAAGTCAAAATCTGTAAAAGAAGACAGCAACCTCACCCTTCAGGAGAAGAAGGAGAAGATCCAGTCAGGCTTAAAGAAGCTAACAGAGCTTGGGACTGTGGACCCAAAGAACAGATACCAGGAGCTGATCAACGACATTGCCAGGGTATTGCATAGGGGGCATCGAGCAAGCCTGACTTGGTTGAAAGCTGTTTCAGAGGCTTGTAAAGGAGACAGGACTTGTTCAGCTCACAACATTCCTGCAGTTCCTGGGAGGATTGGTTTCCTCTCCTTTGGGCTGTGGTTCCTGGCTCTTCTAGCATCAAGACCTTGCCCATCCTGAAGTGGCTGCTGCTTCTGCCCTAGATTAGTAGGAAGAATACCCTAATGGAATCTTCTGTCTTCAACTTGTCTGTAGCCTTAAAAGAGTTTCCCAGAGCTGTTTAGTGATTACTTTGAAATTCACTTTACCCCCACTTGATCCTCAGCATCTTGACTTGTGCTGAAGCGAGGAGCTCTGGCATGGCATGGTAGGGTTGGTTGGTGAGGCAATGTCTGCTGGTGCACTATGATAACGCCTGGCATATCTAGGAGCTTGGCCACTGGTATAGGAAAATTCACTTTTTCTATTTCTTGTGATAAAATATTTAGGAGGCTTAAACCTTGCAAGTAAATTCCAAGAATATGGAAGTCTGTAACACAGTTTCTTCTCTAGAAAATACATGTGGATACATATATATAAATTTGAGATTTGGCTTTATTAATTTCAGAGCATAAGCATTGCTGGGGTTTAGAGTTCAGTGCTAATATGTCAGGAGTGGTGGTAGCTATCCTTTTGTAATTTTAATAATTATGTCTCAGGATATTCGGAATCAGCGGCGATACCGACAGAGGAGAAAGGCTGAACTTGTGAAATTGCAACAAACGTACTCTGCCCTGAACTCTAAGGCCACCTTCTATGGGGAGCAGGTGGACTACTATAAGAGCTACATCAAAACCTGCTTGGATAACTTAGCCAGCAAGGGCATGTGAGTATATTGGGATCAAGGGGATAAAATGGGGTGGGGAGTAGAACTTGAGGTCACTGAAGTGGTGATTTTAGTTTTAAAAAGCTGGTTCTATTTATTGCATTCGCCTTTTATTTTGCTCCTAATCATTTATGTAAAATTTCGATTTGCTGGGGCAGAGCCTAGATGGACTTTTTCCTGGGTGCTGAGCGAAGTCTGATACGCCTCCCTGACTCAGGCCCCAGACCACCCAGCTTGCCCACTTCACAGAGATGGAAACTGAAAATCCACAAGAAGTGAAGTGCTAAGTGCAGGTTTTGTCATAGAGTTAGCTTATTTTTTACTCCTAACTGTTCATTTTAGGGATTTTTCAAACTTCAGAAAGATTGGATGAACAAACAATGCAGCTACCCTCCACGTCGTTTCTTCCATGTGTGTATGTTGTTGCACCGGATTGCCTCTCTGGCGCACGCATTCTCCCCTGCCCTCAGTAGAAGGAGTGAGCCAGGGCTACGGTGGAAACATAAGCAGCAGCCCCTCCGAAAGCTGTGCCCAGAGCGGCTCCGTGTTCTTCTAGCGTTCTTTCTCGGCTGCTTTTCCTGGCTTGTTTACTTTGTACATCTCACACGGAATTGACTTAAAATACGAATTCTGGCTTACTAGAATAACAAAGCTAACCCATTCTCAAATGGGATCACAACCAAGGGCATAGAAGTAAGGATTTACAGCACATATTGTGTGGAGACACAATTCAATCCATTACGTGTTTTTTTCTTGCTCCCATCCTTCTGTGATTGCTATACTAGGTTATTTTTAAAATCCTTGTTTTTATTTTTTCCCCTTCACACCTGAAGGACATTCAAAAGTTTCTCTTTGCCCCTGGACTTCAGGGCCATTCCCTCAGGCTGACATTAGAAGTCCCCACAGTCCCTTGCCATGTGCCTCAGTTCTGAGAGGGACAGAGGAAGAAGACACTGTCAAATGCATGGCATGCTCTCAAATATCTCTTAATTAAAGACAAAAACAATTTGGTAATGTTAACCCAGGTTTGTAGGGCTACTGCTTCGGAAAATCTGGTATTTGTTTTAGAATTGGCATATCGCCTACGCTTGTGTCTGCAAAGCTCCTTTCCTGACCGCCTGATCCTTAGCCAACAAGGACTAATAGTGGGTACTTAGCATTGCAAGTGAACTGATGTGACTTTTACAGGGTCTCCAAAAAGCCGAGGGAGATGAAAGGAAAGAAAAGCAAAAAGATTTCTCTGAAATACACAGCAGCGAGACTCCACGAGAAAGGCGTTCTTCTGGAAATTGAAGACCTGCAAGCGAATCAGTGAGTGTTTACCTTCTTTAAAATTTGATTTTTTACAAAGTCTGCATTTGTCACACCTTCAGCATATTGCCTATATTCCTCTTTTTTAGATCCTTCTTATATGTATGTTTTCATGCACAGAACTAAGCCTCATAAAAGGGAATGTATTTTTTGCATTTTCTTGTTTGTGTGACATTTGGCTCAGGATAAGTCCAAACCTGCTCCTGTGGGTCCCATCTGAATGTTTCCTCTTTAAAGCAGGAAGCTATTCCTTCCATTTCTTCTATGTGTAAACCCAGAATAAATAAGAATAACAATAACAGGATGTTTACTCTATTCCACTTAGACTGGGAACCAGGGACCGTGCCTCATTTTTCCGTTCTGGGAAGCACCAGCTTGCTTGGCACAATGGTTCCTGGGTCTGGCCCACTGCCCTCCCATGGATCCTGGGCCCAACTGCCACCAGGCGAGCACCCTGGACCCCTGCTCAGTTAGTCTTGTGACTTCAGTCAGCCAAACGCCTATGCTTATAGCTGTTAAAAGGAAATCTTTGGTTTAGGAAGAAACACTTATATTTTCCTGATTCTAAAATAGTAACGTATTCAGGGTTGAACTGTGAAATTATGGGTAAGCATTAAGAAAAAACAAAATAAGCACTTAAAATCCCACAAGCCAGAGATAAGCAATGAAATAGGTTTTATAAATTTCCTCTCCCTTGCTACTCCGTTAAGCCTGCTTCCCTAGCCTGCGTGATCATGCAGTATGGATGGGATCAGGCATCAGGTATCAAAAGATCCAAAACAAGCAACTATATCGCTGTGAAAGCAAGGGGTTGGAGTAGCAACACAAAGTCCATCTAGATAACTGGACCCCCCCCCCCACTGAAGCTGTATAAGGAAGGGATGATTCAACCAAGGTGCAGTATAGCACTGATGAATCACATCATCATTCCTCTAGTTCCTGAATGCTAACACCCCCCGTAACCATGACCCAGTTCTAACTTACAAACCTGGCTAGACCGGAGAACACACATTGTACAGATAAGAGCTCTCCACACATGGAATCCGGGACAGATAAACCCCTCAGGAACAGTAATGGGAGTAGTGATATGAGGGGGTAGGGGGATCGTCAGGGATCGGAAAGGTTGAGAAAGGGGGAACCCATTACAAGGTTGGATATATAGCCCCTCCCACTCCCCAAAGAGGATGAATAACAGAAATGTGGGTGAAGGGGAATAATGGACAGTATAAGATATGAAATAACAATATATAATTGATCAGGGATATGCCACGGAGGGGAATAAAAGAGGAGCTTATACCAAGGGCTCAAGTAGAAAATATTTTGGAAATGATGATGGCAACATATGTACAAATATGCTTGATACAATTGATGTATGGAATGTTATAAGAGCTGTAAGAACCCCCAATAAAGTAGTCTTTTTAAAAAAAGACTGCTTCCCCACTCACCTGCCCACTTAGCTTTTTACTGTTTTTACACATAACCTGGGATCATACAGGTATAGATGTGGATCCAGCATTTTTCTTAAAACAATATATTGTAAGCATGTTTCCACTGAAAGCATCCTTTTGGATGACTACTTAATCTCCTGTGTTGTAGGTCAAATTTATCCATTCATCTATTGTAGAACATTTCTGTGCATTATTATACAACACTGTGATAGTATACTTTTACACAGAAATCTTTGTGTAATCTTTGGCTTTTTTATTTAATTTTCAATTTTTAGGATATGCCTATGATGGAGTATTATATTATCCAAAGATTTGGCGACACTTTATTATAACTTTACAACTTCCTGGCTACCATTGAGTAGCCATTAAACTACTTCATTGAGTAGCCATTAAACTACCATTAAACTACTTTGTGGTGTTTTGGGGTGTTTTTTTTTTTTCATTGTTAAAATATTATCTCCCTTTCAAAATTTGTGTTTCTTTGAAGTCTGGTTGAAAATATATGGCTGAGTATGTGTGTGTGTTTAACAGTCTACTATCTCTCTTTTCACTTGTCCATTTTGTCCTTTGTTCCTTTTTCAACTAGGGACCTGATTGTTTCTGTCTTTTTCCTTCATTCACTTGTTGAGTACTTTATGTATTTTTCAAATTTATTTTCACAACATTTCTTACCTTTTCCCTTATGCCGTTCTTTGTCACAGCTGCTTCAGATACTGCTTCTAGTAGCCCTCTTACTTCTTTGTAGTGGGCACTCAGAGCTTAGAGGAGGCGCGCTGGTGGTGCTGCTGCTAGTTTAAACCCCCAGCTGCTGTGTAGGAAAAAGATGAAGCTGTGTGATTCCCCCAAAGACTGAAAGTTCTACTCTGTCCTATAGGGTCACTCTAAGTCAAAATCAACTCAATAGCAGTGAGTTTCATCTAGGGTTTTATTTTTGTTTTGTTTTTAAATCATTTTATTAGGGGCTCATACAACTCTTATCACAATCCACACACACATCAATTGTGTAAAGCACATTTGTACATTTATTGCCCTCATCCTCAAAACATTTGCTCTCCACTTAAGCCTCTGGCATCAGCTCCTCATTTTTCCCCTCCCTCCTTTATTAATAATTTATAAATTGTTATTTTGTCATATCTTGCACTGTTGCTGGTTGTTAAGGTTAAAAACTAGGTTACCAACAAATTTTGGTAAAGAAAAATTATATATTACATAAAATGAATGATTTTAAGGAATAACTTTGAGGATCTCCTGTTGAATAAAATGCATGGATTTTGTGACTTCTCAGCTTCTCAGTGTGACCTAGTCTGCTTTCTTTATGATTCTCAGCTTTGTTCCAAATAGTTCAGGTTGCTCAACAGTTGAGTTCTAGAGTTCTTAGTGATTACCTGGGGATATCCCCACCATCTTGTAATGTCAGAGACTCTCTGGGTATGTAGCATCTTGAGAATAGCATCTTAAGTATTTTCTCTAACAGCCATTCCTTTTTTGGAGGTACTCATCATATCTATGTGTATGTATGCTTATAGATATTGATGCCCCCAGTATATCAATCAGAGCAGTTACGAATTTTTTCTTTGGTCTTCCTACACACCATGGTTTGGTTCACCTGACTTTTCAAAGTGACATCTTTACTTTTGAACACTTTGAAGGGTCTCTTGCTGCCCTGTTCGTACCGTTACCAGACTCCACTGCTGACGGGTTCCATCCCAGTGCCATAGACGTTCCCAAAATAACAAAAGACTGACAAAACTTGTCTGTCTGAGTTTATATTGGGAGACAAGAAGGAAAACAAAGAAAAGAGGGTTTTGCAGCAGATTTGCCCAATACAATATGTGGTTTGATTTCTTCACTGCTACTTCATCAGGCATGGATTAGGGCTCCCGGTAGAAACCCTCAACAATTCCCGTCTTTCCCTGTTTACCATGTATTGTCTGTTGGTCCTATTGGGAGGATTTGGGTTTTCTTTACATTGAATTGTATAATCCATACTGAACGTGGTTACATTCTTGAATATTCTTTAGTAAGTGCTCCAAGCCGTGCTCTTTGCTTTCAACAAGCAAGGTGATGTCATCTGGATATCAAAGGTTGTTAAATAAGCCTTCCTCCAAGCCTGATGCCTCCTCCTTCATCTCGTCTGGCATCTTGGATTATTTGTTCAGCATGCAGATTAAAGGGTGCAACCCTGGTGCACACCTGCCCTGAGTTTAAACCATGCCACATTCCCTTGTTCTGTTTGAACAACTGCCTCTTGATCCACGGACAGGTGCCCTATGAGTACAATAAAACATTCTGGAATTCCCATTCTCCATAGTAATGATCCACACAATCAAGTCTTTACATCTTAATATCATAGTAAATGACACGGAGATAAGCATCTTTCTAGTATTCTCTACTTTCAGCCTAGACATCCAGCATCTAGTAACCACAGTGCTACCCCTCATTTCATGTTCTCTTCTGAATCTAGCTTGGATTTCTGGCAGCTCTGTCGGAGTGTGTTGCTACACCATTTTTAAATTATCTTCAGCAAAATTTCACTTTAGTGTGTTACTAGCAGTGTTTTTCAATAATTTCCACGTTCTCTTGGGTCATCGTCCTTTGAAATGGGCACAGATCTAGATATCTTCCAGTTGGTTGACCATTGTCGTCCATATTTCTCACCTCGCTAAGTAAGAGCAGTTGCACTGCTGCCCCAGTGTCTGGAACAGTTCGGTCTGTCTTTGCTACTCCTACAGCCATGTTTGCCACCAGTGTCTTCAGTGTAGCTTGGAGTTCCGCCTTTAATACCACCGTGTCTTGATCATGTGGCAACTCCTGAAATGGTTGAACATCAGTTAATACTTGTGGGTACAGTGACTCTGTGTATTTCTTCCATCTTCTTTTGATGCTTCCTATGCCATTCAATGTTTTGCCTATTGAGTCTTTTACTACTACAACTCAAGGATTTACTTTTGTCTTAACTTTTTCCATCTTGAGATATGCCAAATGTGTTCTTCCTTTGTGATTTTCTAACCCCAAGTCTTTGAACATAATACTCTAGAGCCACCTTGGGGTCTTTTGCTCACCTTTTACTTCCTCGTGTCTTCCTTTTGCAGTAGCTATGCTATGTTCTAGAGTAAGTTTCAAGGTCTCTTATAACATCCATTTTGGTCTTTTTTCCTATTTTTTAATGACCTTTTGTGAGTGTGTGTGTGGTGAGTGTGTGAACCCGTGCGCCTATTTTTGTGTACGAGATATACCATGGTGTTTAAAATGTTCTTGGAAAAATGGAATTTTAAAGTGATAGAATTTTTTCAAATGTTTTTAATCCCCCTCCTCTAGATCTCCCCTGCTTCTTGTCAGTAACCCTTGTGGCTCTTTGTGCATTGCCTGTATCAAGTTGTTCACCTCTCCCGACTCCCAAAGCATGCCCGCTTTGGGACATGCTTTGTCCTGACTCCCACCCACATGCACCTACCTCTCTGTTTAGCTCAGTTTCCCCAATTCTTGGGGTTTCTTCCCCATTAGATAGTCTCACCAGCAGCTGTTACTTTGGACATATAGTTTCTACCTATTTTCTTCCTTAAAGACTTTGTGTTTTGCTTTCCCCCATATTAGAGTATTTTTATTTCAAAAAATTAAGATTATGACCTTAAGATTGTGTTATGTTTCAACAGGTTTAAAAATGTTATCTTTGAAATCAACCCAACAGAAGAAGTTGGAGACTTTGAAGTAAAAGCCAAATTCATGGGAGTTCAAATGGAGACTTTTATGTTGCATTATCAGGTAGGTATGCACCAGGTGGAACCAAAAGGCTCTCATGTGCCTAAGCTTGCTCTAGCGCTAACATGGTGTGTGTTGTGTGTGTGTGTTGTGTGCATGTGTAGACGGTAGTTATATTATCTAAGTGGGAGAAATAGATTCGAAGGAGGAGGCCCCTGGGAAAGGTTGTTCCCATTCAGGACCCACGTGGGAGGAAGAAGCTGAGCATGTTGGTGTGTCTGATTTCTGAAGATTCCACTTAGTGCTTCCACCAAATTGAGTTCTGGTACCTTGGAGCACAAGTACAGCCTTGTCAGCACAAAATCCTAAGCCTACTGAGAATAGCTTACAGTCTATTTAGCCCTCGTTTTGATTTGTTAGACTAGTACTTACAGGAGCCCTGATGCCACAGTGAGTCCACATAAGCACGTCAAAACCTTTCAGCTCCTCAGCAGAAAGACAGGCTTTCTAAAAGGTTACCCATCTTGGAGACTCACAGGGGCAGAATCAACTCAATGGCAGGGACTCTTTACAGAAGCATTTTAGCAGGCCTTTCTTCCGTGGAGTCGCTGGTGAGTTCAGCTGCCAGCTTCAGAATTAAGGGTGGATTACAGACTGCTTGTGCCACCCAGGCCTCTAAAGCTGCCCCTCCCCGCTAGGCCACAATTGGTGGTTTCCACTGTGCTTCTGGAACCTTTAGAGCTACCTGTTTACAGGAGGTATCACATCACAGTGAAATGGTAGATTGATTTATTCCCTTCCCCATCTGCCAAAACGGTGGGCTTCTTAAGCACAGGTAGCTCTTTATTTTCTCAGTTACAAGTGTTGGCTGAGGTAGTTCACTCACGAGACCACTTACATTTTATGAACTTGCTCTGGCCTCAGAGGGTGGTGGGAAGAAAGCAGACCTTTGAGTTGGTATATTTCATCATAGATTGAAAGGCCTCTACTGTTCAAAGACTACTTAAAACTGGTGACCTATTATGTAGGTAAAATGGGAACGTGTTGTAATTTCTGAAATTAAAGGCTGTAGATGCATCTGATAAGAACATGCTTCTCTTTCTTTCCACATCAGTTACGTTTTTATTTCAACCACGACTTCTTAACTCTAAGAATCAGAAAAGCTAATTGACTAGTGCACCCTATTCCTCAAACTTTTTTTTCCCTCACCCCTCTTTTGTCTCTGACACCTCCTCAAAAAGCCCACCCTGTCTTTCCTTCCCGGTGCTGCTGGGGTAGGGTTGAACCACCAGCCTTTTTGGTTAATAGCCAAGCACAGCAGGTAGACAGCTTGTGCCACCCATGGGTCTTCTGGCATGCAAGGTTAAGTCCAAAAGCATTGCTACTGGGTCACAGATTTGACCTAAACAGACTGTTCACCTGTCTCTGGGGTCAGTGGAGGGCTGCACACAAGTTCTTTCCGCTATATACTCAGTCTTCGTCACATTATAGTGCCTTCCGATTAAAACAGTGGCTTCAGGGGGATCTGCTGGGCTAGTTAAATTCAAGGCAGAGAGGTCAGCTCAGAAGGTTATAGCACGTGACTTCTGGGATTCCCAAGGGGTCACCTTGACAGATTTTCTTAAAAGAAACTGGATGATGACCACAGGAGCTTATTATGAAGAACCTTTAAGAAAACTGAACATTCTATTGGTGGAAAAGAAGGCCAAGAAAGTAGCACCAAGGACTTATTTTCCAGGCTCATTCTTCAAGGGCAGCAAGGGCTGTCCCAGGAGAATTCCCTTGGGAAACCTTACCCCACCCACCCTGCAGCCTGGATCTTGCCTCTTCAAGTTTTCTTTCGTTCCCCAAACCAAAGAACATTTAAAATAAACCCAGCTTGTATTGCTGGACGATGCCCAAACTGCCATGTTAGTGTGATGTAAATCAAAGAGCACAGAACTCGTCAGGGAAGGCTTAGAGATAGGGAGACATAAGGGGAGATTGTGTCAAGAAGCAGTAGCTTCCTGTTTTGATATTTTTGTTTAATAAAGGTTTCTGTAACTTTGTAGCCATACTTTGGGAGGTACCTAACACTGGCTAACCTTACTGCTCTGGACTCCTCCCTACACTGTGTCCTTTCTCTTGTTCCACACACTTGATTGTCAAAAATGATTTTTTTTTAACAACAGGACCTGTTACAGCTACAGTATGAAGGCGTTGCAGTTATGAAATTATTTGATAGAGCTAAAGTAAATGTCAACCTCCTGATCTTCCTTCTCAACAAAAAGTTCTACGGGAAGTAATTGATTGCTTGCTGACAGCCCAGAAGAATGAAGGGAAGAAGTACCTCTCGGCCCTTCAGGGCCCTTCTCTACCCCCTGCAAGCAACAAAGCTCCAGCCCAGGACCATGCCTCAACCCAGTCCATTCCCAATGCCACTCCTGTTCCGATGATGCATTTTTGCCCCGTTTTTCATAGTGAACTTTTTATCTCAGGCTTCGCCTGACCCTTCTGGTTCCTGTTTCCTTCAGTCATTTAAGCACAGAGTGGAAATCCCATAAAAACTTCTCTTTATATTGTTCTTGCCTTAAAGGTTACATTCCTATATGGTGAGCTTTTGGTGTTTAATTACCAATAAGGATGGTGGGATTTGAATTCTTGTTATTTGGAAGTGGAATCTCTTAGCACCAGCAACATACATATATACATACATACTATACGAGGGAGCTTCAAAGTGTTTGTGGGAAAAATCCATTACCTTTTATTTCCATTTCCCACAAACTCTTTGAAGCCCCTCATATAAGATAAAGTGAAAATGTCAGATTGGCTACAGTTACGAGGTTGTGTAGTCTCTGCCCCATCAGCATAACTAAAAGCTGGTGAGGAATCACTGGAGCAGGGAAGAGGGTTGTTTTTAAATGTTAGCATCAAATTCTGGGCGATTCTTATATAAATCTCCTGCCAGTGAATGGGAGAGCCTATTGATCCAACTCAGCTAGTCTGCGTACATTCAGAACTGGATGAGGTCCCCCTCTAGGTGACTAGTGTATTTGTGTTGGTGCCCAGAGGTTGACTGGGTTCAGGAAGACAGTCTTCCATCCTTGCCACAACAGAAATGGATTAGATTTAGCTGCAAATGTAATTGCCTTTAAAATCTTTTTATATCTTAAGAGTGCCTTATTATAGATTTACTTCTTAAAATGTGGGTGATAGGAATTGTAAAGACTTATGTAATGCTTCAAAAGCCTTTAGAATACTGTAAGAAAATGATTTTTTATATAAATTGGCTTATTTGTATATCTGAACTCTTGAAACTTTCTTATAGCTAAAACACTAGGATTTGTTTGCAGAATTGCAGAGAAATAATCCTACCTTAAAGAGTCTAGAACGACACCAGCCAACTCCTGTGACGTTGGCTATGAGTCTTTTGCCCTCACTTCTTTCTCTTCTTCCCCTGCTGTCCACCTTGTACCGTTATATTGTGAACCCGTTTTCTGTGTTTCTTTCTTTTTTAAAGAAAGTCACATCTAAACATTGGATTGAGGAAATTTTTGTTCTTACAAAGTCATGTCCTTTTTGAAGAATATGCTTATCCAGGAAAATATACTGCAATCATGCTACCAAACCACCACCATCTCTGACGTTGGCTCAGTGTTTTTTGTAGTAAAATGTAAAGCTGAACATAATAAATGAAAGTTTTAAAAATGTACTGAGGTATATTTACAGCTGATCACGTGTTTTAATGAATAGCAAATTGAGTAGTGTGCTTTTGTTGCGAGTTTAAATCCCTGGCTCACCTTACCCATCAGGTTCATGGTGTACAGATGGGGCTTGTGGGAGTTTTCCCACTGGGGCTGGCCAGAGCCACACCGGGCACTTAGGAGAGCCCTAGAAGATGGGCAATGGTCAGTGTGGAGCACCAAGTCAGGATTCTCTCCTATCTTCACCCTGGTTTTATGCTGTTTGGGGACCAAAAAAATTTTAAGTAAATGTCTTTTCAGATTGGGGAAAAAACAACGTTATTATGGTTAGCATCACTGCAGAGTGAACAACCAAAGTGTCGAGATCCTATTTCTTTGAAAGAAGATGCCCTTCCCAAATGCCTTGTTAGCTTCAAGACCACGTCAAGACAATAATGGACAAAGTTTACAACTCCTTAAATAATGTCAATTATTTGTAAAAATGAAAATTTCCTTAACACAACTTCTAATACAAACAGCATGGAATGCAAGTCAAGAAGTTTTATGATAAATACAGAGAATTAGAGTCTGAGAGTGTAGATAATGCCTTGATAAACTCACATCCTGGCATTGAAACCAGTAGCTTTTATTACTTTTATTTATTAGCTGAAGCATTCTCCTGTCTCATCTCTCCTGACCTCCCTTCAGGCATCATGACATTTACCATGACCGTCAAGAATCTATACTGCCATCAGATTGTTGCTGCGCACATCGCCTTTGTATCCCTATGAAATAAAAGGTCATTTGTTCATGTTTGTGTGTATTTTCTCAGTTCCATTGTTAGCAGTTCCTGCTAATGGTGTTGTCTAGTGTGCAATTTAATCATTAAAAACCACACCAGAAGACAATCCCTTTCTCTATAGTTTTTTGATGGAGCAAACCCAAGCCAACCATCAAACTGCTGCGTGTATCAAAGCAATTTTTAGACATGAACTTTGTCTTTTTAAATAATATCCACTTGTGAAGAGGGATGGGGCTGCAGGCATGTCACTTCATTCTGATTGGCCAATGGCTGAAGGTTTAACCGTGTGCCAGCAATTCACACTGTTGTGTCAAGAGCAGCAGCACACTAGGTGGAGAGCAGAGTACATACAATTACAGTGTGCCCCTCAGTGACTCTGTTTACCTTACAGACCAGTGCCAGCAAGACAAAACCCCCAAAAAACAATTTAGATAGAGGAAAGGTCAACAGCAGCAAAAAAGAAAAAGTGGCTTCCTTAATGTTTAGTAACTGGAAAGTTCGTAATACAAGGAGGAAGATACAATGAAGCCATTGTAAACGTACACTTTAAAAAAATCGAAGGCGATGATTTGGGTGGCTGAGGATGTCCCCACCAAACCTCTGAAGAGTGGTGTGGTAGGCACAAGCTTTGGGGCGGTGGGGGTGAGGGGGCGCCAGACTTGGCTTTGGCGGTGGGACCTTGTGAAGTGCCTCAGTTGTCTCATTCTGAAATGGAGCCTGCTGTCTGGTACGTAGGTTCTTGAAAGGGGAAAGAGAGTTTGCTAATTTATGCTCTACATTGTCCCACAAAGACCCCAAAGGAGTTACATACTGGTCACGGTTGGATATTCACTAAGGGAGTAAGAAGAAGTTGCGGGTGGCAGGCAAGATGGCACTTGGAGACAAATAGAATGCTGGGAGCCCACAAGGCCTATTGCGGTGGCCTCATACAAAAAGGACACCAATCTGTCACAGGCTCTTCACACATGTCCACTCATGTACTCTGGAAAGGAATTGGAGGAAATTCTGCCTCGACACATTTTGAATCTGACACCCAAGGTTTTTGATATTCAAGTTGTAAATTACAGCTACCAATATATTATGATCTTTAAGGTAAAACTTGCCTTTAAAAGTATCAAATGAAGTCTTCCTCTACTGTCCAATTAAAAAAATAGGTGAACCAAAGTTTGTCAGCTGGAAATTTTACCTACTTTTGTCTCCGTAAACTCATCTCCATTTCCCTCCCAGAATTTTACCCTAAAGAGTTTAAAACCTAAGTCTTATTTTTGGTCACTGTGTGCTAATTACCTGTAAGGAAAAGTATTTTCGTTACATATCCAGGAGGGTGAGTAGAAAAGTGCTGCTCCGAGGGTTCCAGGCACCATTCTAGGGACGCTGTGCCATCACGAGCAGCACAGCTGTGCTGGGAAGCCAGCCTCAGCCCTGGTCTTGTCCCTCCTGACTTCCTAAAGCTCAAATGATACTTAAAAAGACGCTGGTTTTTGTCCCTCCAGGAGGCCAGAACTGCCATTTTGACATGGTATAATTTTAAAAGTGCAGAATTCTTTGGAGAAAACTTGAGAGCTAGAAAACTCACCCTCCTAAGGTTATAGACCTGGATGGAGGTTAAATCAAATAAAGCAGAGCTTGCTTTACCTTTAAACTTTTTTTTTCAAGACATGACAAAATAATTTCTAAATTATAAAGGTTTCATGAGGGAGGGGAAAAATCAGGAGCTGATCCCAAGGGCTCAAGTAGAAACAAAATGTTTTGAGAATGATGATGGCAACAAATGTACAAATGTGCTTGACACAATGGAAATGGATGTATGGATCATGATAGTTGTACGAGCCTCCAATAAAATGACTTAAAAGCAAAACTTTCTCCCTCCTTTGACAATAAGGCTGTTCAGGTGAATTTCATCATTATAAATACTGTATATCAAAGTAATTATATTATCTTGACAATTCTAAAAGTAAAATTTGAAGTGCATTTTAAAAAATAATTTTAAATTATTTTAAATGAAAGTTTAAAGAATATGTGGCTAATATTACTTTTTGATAGAATTTTAGAGTTTGTAACCAATTTTCTATATAATTTTCACTTTTATAGAAAAAGTATATGAAACAGTAGGTGTTTGTTATAGCAATATCACTCATTTTCTAGGATTCCTTAAAACGTTCTCAATGGGTCCTCCTCCCATTTTCATAAAGCAGAAACATGGAAATCTCCTGACTTTGTCAAAGAATTTATTATCCAGTTGTTGAATAATCTTTTTTCTCAGGACCTAAGTAGTAGACCAATGAGATTTACCGAGAGTTACCAAATGACTGGTAATTGTGCTCATAGCCCTTTGATTTACAGATAACTTGTTTCATCCATCGACTATGCCAAGAATACTTTGGAAAATATAGAAATAATACCTTTAATATTTATTTGACATTACAATCTTTCAACTCTAGTATGAAAATAATCCTATTTTACTAGCCTCAACAATTATCAACACAATGTAAAACTTGTTTCACAATGAACTGGGCGCTATCTCAAAACTTCCTGCACCTGAGACTTAGAACTGAAATACTCTGATGGGAGGGGAGGCAAAGGATGGCCACCCCAAGACTGTGGAAGTGGCGGTCATTGGATGTTGTGTAGGTAGGATCCCTGGATTAGTGGGTGTCCAGTGGTAGGGGACCCAGAACTACCATATATTTAATACCTCAATGCTCCCTCTGCACTAATGTGGCAAGTTTTAATCTGAGAGGGAACGATCTGCCCCTGTAAGAATGTTACAGGAAAATTTCCCCAGCATCAACCCCCACGCTCAATGTAAACAGAGCTCAATCAATTAAGAAATCAATCTGCACAAAGCAACAGCTCATGGATTGCAGCTTGCAGTTGAAATATACTCATAAACTCATATCAACAGTACCTTAAGGTATATGCCATTGGATAAATTACGGATGTTCTCAATGCAATTGCCTTATAGCCCAGTGGGGCAACTGATGGTTTTGTTTCTTTGTTTTGGGGGTTTTGTTTATTTTTATTTTTTTAATTGCAACAGTGGCTTTATTCTGGTATTGTAGAGGGTATCCCATAATATCTCTAAGGTAAGCTTGTAACATAAAAATGCTATTGAAAATATTCAGTAAAATTTGAATATAGAGGGCCATGAAAAAGATATTGGAAAAGCAGTTTAAAAAAGAGGAAATTTCTCATTCTTTTTTTGAAGAACCCTCAAATAATTTCCCATTCAATTTAATAAAATTGTACAGTATATTATTTATAACAAAAATCAAAACATGCCACTATATCATTCATACCATACTATGAACACTAATATGTTTAATTATTATGGATTCAATACATTTGTTTAGTAGTCTAAAATGCCATACTTATGACATAAATTATAATATATAAACACACCATAGCTTTAGGCATATATATTGGTTTTTTAATGAAAATATAGTTCAATATTCAGCACTGTCTTATTGTCTAAAAAAAGAAGTTTGTATTATGTAAATTTTAACCACACTCATTACCTTTGAGTGAATGCTGACTCAGCGCCCCGACTGTGGATCTGAGACTATAACCATCCACGGAAGTAGAAAGCCCAGTCCCTCTCCCAAGGAGCTTCTGGTGGCCTTGAACTGCCAACCATGCGGACTGCAACCCAACATACAACCACCACACCTCATTTGGAAATCCTATTAATGTTTAATATCCTTTCGATGTGGCGTAGTGGTTACACAGTGGGCCACTAACCACAAAGTCTGCAATTCAAAACCATCAACTTTCTGTGGGAGAAAGACATGGCTTCCAAGTCCCACAAAGAGTTCCTGTCTCAGAAATCCAGTGGCAGCTTTGCCCTGTCTTTCAGCATCGCCATGAGTCCGAACTGACTGGATAGCAATGAACTTCTTTGGTTTAAATCTAACAGCTTAGCTATGAATGGAGGACTTGCTTACATCCCCAAATTATGAACCATTCACTGTAAAAACCATTATGTTAAAATTTTGAGGTACAAACAAGGCGGCTGTTAAAATTCATGAAAAAAACTGAACCAAACATAATGAAATGTTTCCATGAAGTTATACTGGTTTTTGTTTGTTTGTTTTTGTTCTTGTTGGTTTTTGTTTTTGTCATAATATGACCACCAAACTAAATCAGAGTAATTCATAACCTGTGGACAAGCAGATAGATTCTGGGCACCCATGGAATTCTAGCCCCAATCCAAGTACAGTTAGTTCTTATCACATGGCCCTGCTCCATCCGTGCCTTGCACTGAAGATAAGGATGCTCCAGTGAAGTGTGGTGAAGAAAGCAAATGGTGCCCAGGGATCTCAAAGGCTTGTACTCAAACAAGCAGCCATCTAAGGGAGGCATCAACTAGTTCCACATCTAGGGAGCACACCAGCCTATGACCCAAAGATGATCAAAACAAAATCCAAATAGGATGAAGGGAAAAGTATCCGAGCTTAAATGGTGAATGCCCAATTTGTAGAAAGCTGGGGAGGGCAGGCAGATCCCCTCTAGCCACAGGCCAGGGACTCAAACATCAGATAGAGATTAATGTAAACTTGATTATGGTAGCTCGATCCGTGGTATAAAATGATACTTGGTCAGTTGACCCAACCTGAATTTGCTCTAGGCTCAAATATTTCCTGCTTGTTCAGAACAGAAATTTCTTCTCTGGCTTTTTAAACATTGCTGGTGGTCTTTTCTTTCTTATTCTTTATTTATATTATTGTTATTTTCTTCTTTGTTTTGTTTCTGCTAGGTTTCCCAGTTTATGAGTACAGAAGGGGTGGATGTACACTGGTGATAATTGAGGTGATGATTTACTGGGGGGTGAGGAGGGTGAAGGGAATTAGGGAGCAAACAATGTGGCAGGGGGAGGGAGCATTAGAACCGCTTTTGATGATGTATAATTAACTGATTTAACTGTGGAAGTGTGTGATATGGGAATATTATATCAAGAAAACGACTTTAAAGAAGGAAGAAGAAACCAGACCTGACCTGTGGTTACCAAA